TCGTCAGCCTCTGGAGGCAGCCAGCACCCATGGAGCCCAGAGGCCTGGGGGGAGGGGGGCCCCTGGCTAATGGCCCGCAGTCCATTTCTCCTGAGACGATGTCCTGAACATGGTCTCCGGTCTGGGCGTCCCCGTGGCACCTTTGGGGTGAGGACTGTCTCGGCCTCTTGTGCCCTGGGAGCTCAGGGTGGGCGGTGAGGAGTGCTGTTGGGGTCCGGCACCCCTGGCCCTCTGGCTTCAATGAGGAGTGTGTCTGCCATGCTGCTGTATCTCTGTCAGGCCTGGGGCCCGTGTGTCTGTCCCCTGCTGGCCCTTTGGTGACCTACAGGCTTTTGAACAGGGCCAGGCAACCTGCATCTGCCCCTAGGTGACCTTGGTGCCCGTGGAGATGGCCCCCAAGGAGATGGGGTCCCGTCTCTGGGCTTTCTGTGGGCTGACCCAGCCACGGCCTAGACTGTGTGAGAGCCGGGTCCCCTGGATAGGGCTGTCGGCAACCAGTCCTCGGCAAGCTGGCCTTTCTCCCCGCTTCTGTGGAAGCAGACACCAGCGCCTGTAGCCTGGATGGCCCAGCCTAGCCAGGAGTCAGGAGAGCAGAGCCCGCGGCCACAGTTTGTCCTTCTGGCTCCTCCTCTCCGCTCCCCTGCCCGTCCCCGTCTAGGACCTGCCCCCCCTCCCAACCCCATCTTTATCTCTCAATTTTACAGGCAGGCAGTCACCCACGCCAGGCTGGATGGTGGGCCTGGGGCGCAGCGTCCGATGGGTAATGCCCTGGGCCTGGAGGGGCTGCAGAGCCTGCCCAGCCCCGAGTTAGCTGTAGCTCTAGTGGCCTCTTCTCAGCTGCCTGCCCGAACACATGAGCCATTCTTGCCACCCTCCCCCTGGCACTCTGGCCACTGCCTCTCCTGGCCGGTCTCCGCTTGATTCGCCCACCCTCTGGCCACCCGCTCTGGTGAGGGTACATACACTGCCTTGCAGCCTGCCTTCCTGCTTTGCTGCTTCTAGACTCTGCACAGTGGTGGGGAGGGCAGTCAGAATCCGATGGCATGGCGGTGCTGGGCCAGGCCCCTGGGGCAGGGCTGCTGGCCAGGAGGGCAGCCAGTCCATCCGGGAGGCGGGCTCGGGCCCAGAGGAGAACATGGGCAGAGGGGTAGGTGCGGCTGGTCTGAGAGGCCGCTGAGGAAAGTTCCAGACCTGGGATCAGGACGAGCAGCCTCTGAAGAGTGGTCGGTTATCTCCCTTGGCTCATGGGTTTAAACTGAAAGCAGTGTCCTGACTCACTCCTTTTGGCTAAATGACCTTGGACGAGTTTATGTAGCCTCTTTGAGCCTCATCTGTAAATTGGAAATAAGGATTCTGGTGACGGTGGCTGTCAGCAACTCCACTTGCCCGATGCATGAGAAAGTGCTCTGTGAGCTGGAAACACCAGCCACGGAAGGGGTGCTTGTGCTCTGGGGCTTTGGGAGGAAGGCACCGCGGAGAGTCTGGGAGGTGGCCGGGCGGGGGTGAGGGATGCTTCCCAGGGCAGGGGGCCACAGCCCGTTTCACCCCAAGGGGCCCGTGGCCTCTGGCCCAGCTGTGTCTTGGGACAAAGGGCCCTTCCTGGTGGCAGGGGGCAAGGTGCGCCCCCTAGGGCCAGCAGGGTGAGGGCTCAGCTCCAGATTTGCTCAGGGCCCGTGGGATTGGGGGGGGGCGGGGCTTGGCACCTGCGTGGCCCCAGCCCACTCTGCCCTGTGCCTCGCAGAACTGCAGGACATCATGCATATCTCCCGGGCCCGGAAGCCGGCGTTCATCCTGAGCTCCATGAGGGACGAGAAGCGGACGTAAGTGGGGGAGGGAGGGAGGGGGACCGCATGCACCAGGCCTCTGTTTGGTGCCCTCCGGCAGGCTCGGGGCTGTTGTCTAGCGCATACCACAGCCCTGTGAGGTGGCTTGTGTCCTCTGTAGTTCACAGCCAACTACAACTGGGTGTTCGGAGAGCCTGGGTCTGCTCTCTCATCAGGGACCGTGCGGGCTGTGGGTTATACGATAGAGCTGGCTGCAAGCCTGTCCCGTCCCTCCTGACCTTGTGTTGGTTTGTTGGGGAAGGTCACCCAGATCCCCACTGCGATGCTGAGCCTCCTTGCCTCTGGCTCCATCCTGGCCCCTGCCCTGCTTCCCTCCACAGAGCTGGTGGGCCGGGCGGACTTCCCGAGCACCTGCTGTACGTCCAGGCCCGTTCTTGGAGGCAGGCCTGCGTGATGGGCACAAAGAGCAGAGGCCTTTGTCCTTGAGGGCGGTCCCTGGGGCCTCAGAAGCGGTGCCTGCCAGCACGGCAAGTTCCCGGCACAAACGTGCGTGCGCTCGACTGCGCTCTGTCTTCCTTTCCGTGATAGAGTTGCTTTCTTGTTCTCCGTTTGCGACTGTCCCACGTCCCTAACAGCTTTCCTAGGGAGGGATTAGGATCCTTGTTTCGTGCAGACAGAACCTGAGTCCCCGGGAGGCGAAGTGCCTTGCTCAAGCTCACACCATGAGTGTCGGAGCAAGACTCTAGTCCCCCGTCTCCTGAGTTCCTGCCCTTTCTGCTGCCGCAGGCACTCTCCCGGCTGCCTCAGTAGTGCTGGCCCCCGCAGGGCAAGCTCTCAGTCCACAGACACAGCCCCTGCTCCTAGGGCCAGGCAGTGGCAAGTGGTTCTGCCTCCCCTTGCCTGAAGGGTTGGCTTCCCCTTGGTAAGTCCTACTTATTTCCAAGGCCACCCTGTAACATGCCCCGTGGGGGTGCACCTGCTGCATCAGCATTGTAGTTCTCTGCTCCCACTGAACTTCCTGCATGTGCGCGCACATGTGCGCGCACACACACACACACACACACACACACACACACACACACCTGCACAGGGGCTGAGGAGGGTAACGTCCCGACCAGTAAGACCAGAGGAGGCAGATTCTCCAGCAGGACTCAGATGGTTTGCAGCAGCCTGAGTACTCTCCCTGGAGGTGGGACTGAGGCGACAATCAGGACACCCCCGTGGGGACCTTCCCACGAAAGGCTGCGAGCCTCGTAGCTCAGCCTTGCTTTCTGTGGGCTGACGTCTCCATTGTAAGCCCCACATCCTCCGAAGGGTCTCTTGCGTTTTTGCTCTGGCCTCCCTGGTCATGGGCCCTGCAGGCCTCCAGTGACGGCCCAGCATCCCCTGCCACACTCTGGGCTTGCTGCGGGGCTGGGCAGCTTGTCCAGAAGAAGGACCCTAGAGGTGGGCCACCCGGGCCTCCTTTGTTCACCAGCTAGTCCATCGGACGCCTCCCGAGTGCACTGGAAAGGCAGCACTGTGGGGAGCAGGGCAGTCCCTGCCCTTGGAAGCTTCTGTCCCATCCACTGGGGGAGAAAGTGAACGGAGGGAAAACCGCCTGCTTGTGGGAGGGAGAAGGGCTCTACAGCAAGAAAGTGGGTGGAGAAGGAGCCGGCTGAGCCAGAGGGTGCTAATGGCATCAGAGCAGGCTTCTCCGGGCGGTGACATTTACGCTGAGATGGAAGGATGAGGAGACCAAACGGAAGCTTCCTAGTCTGAGCACAGACAGTGGAAGCCTTAGGGCAGGGAGCTGGGCACGGCAGGACCGAGGGAGACGTGTCGGGTCGTGTTGCCCAGCAGGTGACTCAGGAGTCAGCAGACCCTCCCCTTCCCCCATCCCTGTCTGGGTCCGGCCACATCGCTTCCCCATCTCGTGACTTTGGATGGTCACCTAAGCTCTGAGCTTCACTCCTTCCCAGACGTGCACAGGGGTAGCAGGGAGCGTCTGCCTCCGAGGGGTGTGGGACATCTAAGTGAATTCATGCGGGTGAAAGCCCCTCACAGCTCCTGGCACAGAGATGGTGCTTCCTCCCTGCCCCCCTCCTCCCTCTCCACCACCGTTCCTGGCTGCAGGAGAGCCCTTCCCCCAGCCTCGTTTAATTCAGACAGACTTTTCTCAGGCACCTGCTTCCGGTCAGGCCCCCGACTGGGAATCTAGGCCCGACCAAAACCCAATGGGAGAGACAGACCCAGGTGTCTGCTGAGGTGACACCTGGCCGCTCCCTTCATTGTTCCTGCACTTTCCCCCTCCTGAAATACTATATGTTTATTTCCTTACTGACTGTGCTCCCCCTATCTGCCCCCCGCCCCCACACACACCCCTAAAAGCCCAGTAGCACGAGCTCCACAGGGCCTTGTCTCACACAGTCACAGATGCTCAGGGACACGGGCCCACGTAAGGAGCTGGGCTCTAATGGGCCCTCTTCTCTCCTGCTGCTGTCCCCACCACAGCCACGACCACCTGCTCTGCCTGGACGGAGGGGGCGTGAAGGGCCTCATCATCATCCAGCTCCTCATTGCCATCGAGAAGGCCTCGGGCGTCGCCACCAAGGATCTCTTTGACTGGGTGGCGGGGACCAGCACTGGAGGCATCCTGGCCTTGGCCATTCTGCACAGTGAGGGCGGCCCCGGGGGCGGTGGGGGCAGGGTGTTGGGGGGGCGGTTGGGATCTGCCCTCGAATTGGGCTCAGCTTCTTTTCAGAGCTTTGCAAAGAGAGTCACTGGGGACGGGGAGGCCTGTAAGCCCTTTGTGGGGCGGGTGAGGGTGTTGGGGTCTGAGGCTTGAAAGAGAAGGGCTTGGAGGCAGGCTAGGGGCATGGTGCCCTGCCCTCCACGGGGGACAGAGCTCCCCGGGACGAGGAGGATTATCAGTCAGTGAACTGCTAGCGTCAGGGGGCCCACATCCCCTCTCTGGTCTCCAGTTCTGCCTTCCATGAGAGCAAAGCTATCTCGGATCTGCCTCTGCTCGGTGGGGCAGGAGGTCCGTGGCGGAGGTTCTGGCCTCCTCCAGAAAGGGTCACTTCCTTCTTTAGACTCCCAGGGGCTATGGGAGGGATTTGAGAAGTCTCATACGGGCAGACCCCCTCCTCTCCGCAGCCCCCTCTGCGCGCACAGCCCAGGTGCGGCCTGCTCCTTCTGGCTGTCCTCAGAGGCCCGCGGGACAGGGCTGGCCCTTCTGTTCTGAGCCACATGAGGTGGTTCTAGATTCAATTTACAAGCTCTTACACTCTCGGGGCCCTCTCTAAGGAAAATAATACAAAGTTGGGAACACAGAATTAGGCCCAGAGCCGCGGGGCTGCTGAAGGAGATTTCTGCCTCTGCGGGAAGTTTCCCAGGAGAGGCCCAGGAGCCCAAGCCTGGGTAGTGCCTGAGTCAGTCCTGTCCCCTCCTGCCATCCCCTGCCGGCCACCGTGGTCCTGCGGCTGTCAGGGCGTGGCCCTCGTGTCTCCCCGATCTTGTTCTAGGCAAGTCCATGGCCTACATGCGGAGCGTGTACTTTCGCATGAAGGATGAGGTGTTCCGAGGCTCGCGGCCCTACGAGTCGGGGCCCCTGGAGGAGTTCCTGAAGCGCGAGTTTGGGGAGCACACCAAGATGACCGACGTCAAGAAACCCAAGTAAGGCTCCTCAGCGGGAGCGCTGTGGCCGTGGCCCTGGCTAGGCAGCCCTTCGGCTGTTCCCCCGCGGGGCCGAGGGCTCCCTGTCCTGGTCTGGTTAAAGCTGAGGGGCCGGGGAGGCGAGACGCTTCTTCCCAAGTGAACCGGGGGCTTCTGGAGGACATTGCGGACACCCTCACCCCAGGTCCGAGGGGGTCGCGTCTGGTCCACCATACACTCAGGACCTTTTTGCTGAGCAGGGCTCTGCCCCAGGCATCGCATGTGCGCGGTGGGGGGGTGAAAGGTGCAACCACCGGGTGGAAAGGCTGGTGCGCCATTTGCAGGCTGGTTGGGAGGTAACTGACCTGAAAAGTGACAGCCACGCAGGGCCGCCGGTGCTTGCAAATTTCCAGAAGAGCCGGCAGCACAGCTATTTCTTTGTAATACTCCCCACCCCAGGATTACTTTCTCGTCGGTTTCTTGCCTATCTCCCCAGGCTAGAGCTCCCTGAGGCAGAAAGATGGTCGTGTGTTTCTTCTGCACCCCCAGCATCTGGCACAGTGCCTGCCCCAGAGCAGGGCATTGAGAAGTGTTCATGAGCTGACTGTCAGAGAGAGAGAGAGAGAGAGAGAGAGAACGAACTGAGGGCCTGCGGGCAAGGTGGTCACGGGGGCTTCCTGGAGGAAGTAACATATCAGCAAGGCCCTAGAAATTTAGGGAGGATTTCTTTTCATAATAAAGCTTTTTTTCTTTTTTCTTTTTCTTTTTTTCCATTTAAGAATAATGCCTAGTCTTTTAACAAAATCTGGCAAATACAGAAAGTAAGAAGGAGGAAAATCTCATCCACGTAGTAAAACCCAAAAGATAACTGTTTTTGTTTTTATTTTATTTATTTATTTATTTATTTATTTATTTAT